AGGAAGGGTACCGTATGAAGGAGACAATATAAACCAGAAAGGAGACAGTATACACTTGAAGGGAGACTGTATACACCAGAGAGGAGACAGTATGCACCGGAAAGGAGACTGTATACACCAGAGAGGAGACAGTATACGCTAGAAAGGAGACTGTATATACTTGGTAGGAGACAGTATACACCAGACAGGAGACAGTACACACCGGAAAGGACACTGTATACACCAGAAAGGAAACAGTATACACTTGAAAGGAGACAGTATACACCAGAAAGGAAACAGTATACACTTCAAAGGAGACAGTATACACTTGGAAGGAGACAGTATACACCAGAAAGGAGACAGTGTGCACTAGAAAGGAGACAGTATACACCAGAAAGGAGACAGTACACACTTGAAAGGAGACAGTATGCACCGGAGAGGAGACAGTATACACCAGAGCGGAGACTGTATTCACCAGAGAGGAGACAGTATACACCAGAAAGCACACCGTGTACACCACGAAGGAGACAGTATGAAGGAGACAGTATAGAGCTGGCTGGAGACAGTGTACACTTGAAAGGAGACAGTATACACCTGCAAGGAGAGAGTATACACCAGAGAGGAGACAGTATACACCGGAGAGGAGACAGTACACACCAGAAGGGAGACAGTGTACACTAGGAACGAGACAGTATACACCAGAGAGGAGACAGTATACACTTGAAAGGAGACAGTAAGTACTAGCAAGGAGACAGTGTACACCAGAAAGGACACAGTCTACACCAGAAGGGAGGCAATATACACCGGAAAGGAGACAGCATACGCCGGCGAGGAGACAGGATACACTTGAAAGGAGACAGTATACACTTGAAAGGAGACAGTATACACCACATAAGGAGACAGTACACACCAGACAGGAGACAGTGAGTACTAGAAAGGAGACTGTTTACACCAGAAGGGAGAGACTATACAGCATAGCGGAGACAGCATAGACCAGAAAGGAGACAGTGTGCACCGGAAAGGAGACAGCATACACCAGAAAGGAGACAGAGTACACCAGAAAGGAGACAGTGTGCACCAGGAAGGGTACCGTATGAAGGAGACAATATAAACCAGAAAGGAGACAGTATACACTTGAAAGGAGGCAAACTACACCAGAGAGGAGACAGTATACACCAGAAAGGAGACTGTATACACCAGAGAGGAGACAGTATACACCAGAGAGCACACCGTGTACACCACGAAGGAGAGAGTATGAAGGAGACAGTGTAGATCTGACAGGAGACAGTATACACCAGAAAGGAGACAGCATACACCAGAAAGGAGACAGTACACACCGGAGAGGAGAGAGTATACACCGGAAAGGAGACAGTATACGCTTGAAAGGAGACAGTATACACCAGAAGGGAGGCAGTATACACTTGAAAGGAGACAGTCTACACTTGAAAGGCGACAGTGTACACCAGAACGGAGACAGTGTGAAGAAGACAATATAAATCTGACAGCAGATAGTGTACACCAGAACGGAAACAGAATACCCCAGAACCGAGACAGTGAATACTAGAAAGGAGACTGTGTACGCCAGAGGAGACAGTATACACCAGAGTGGAGGCAGCAAAAGCCAGCAAGGAGGGACTAGGCAGCGCGGAGGAGACAGTATACACCATGAACGAGAAAGAATATACCAGAACGCAGACAGTATACACCCGACAGGCGACAGGATACACCGGAAAGGAGACAGTATACACAAGGCATTAAATAGTGTGCACCAGGAAGGAGACAGAATGAAGGAGACAGTGTACATCTGACAGGAGATAATTTACGCCAGAGCGGAGGCAGAGAAAACCAGAAAGGGACAGCATACACCAGAAAGGAGACGGTATACACAGGAAAGGAGGCAGTATACACTTGGAAGGAGACCGTGTACGCCAAAAAGGAGACAGTATACACTTGAAAGGCGACAGTATACACCGAAAAGGAGACAGTGCGCACCAGAAAGGAGACAGTATACATCAAAAAGGAGAGAGTATGCACCAGAAAGGAGACAGTGTACAACAGAAAAGAGAGATTAAAGACGAGAGCACACAGCATGGTGGAGACAGAATAGACCAGAAAGGAGACAGTATACTCAAGAAAGGAGAGAGTTTACAGCCTAGAGGAGACAGTATACACCAGAAAAGAGACAGTGTACACTTGGAAGGAGATAGTATGCACCAGAGAGGAGAGAGTGTCCAGCGGCGATCAGAAAAGGAGACAGAAAATAGCTTAGGGAAGACAGCAGAGACAGCAAACAGCAAGCAGAAGCCAAGTAGTATCAGGGATGAGACAGAAGACAGTATAGGGAAGAGAAAGGAGGCAGAAGACACTAAAGAGACTGCAGATACACCTAAACTGAACGCATCTTTTGCTATAGAAACGGAGGTTAATCTTCTTTGTTGAGGCCAGCCGCAGCGATTCGGAGCTGGTTGCAATAACTACGAATATACAAATAAGTAAATACTTGTATATTTGTATAGATGCACCGCTTGCTGCTACTGGCATGAAAGCGGCAGCAGCAGCGGCAGCAGCTGCAGCAGCAGCAGCGGCAGCAGCAGCGGCAGCAGCTGTAGCAGCAGCCGCTGCAGCAGCAGCTGCAGCATTCCGTGCAGCAAGACATATATATCTACAACTAAGCAGATAGATATGTACGTATATATACATGAATATACATATTTATTATATATATGTATATTCTATATATATAGAATATACATATATATAGAAAGAAACTTGTTGCAATATATAAATATATATATATATATATATATATATATCTATATATTTATATATTTGTATAGGAACTTGCTGCAATGTATGCATATATATGTATATATATATTATATATATAATATATATATATATTTATAAAGAAACTTAATACAATTGAACACCAACAGGCTGAGGGCCTTGCAGCTACATTCAGAAACCGGAAGAGAACTTCAAGCCCCAGGTAGATAAGGATACAGATAAATAAGTAGGTAAGAAGAAACGGAGAAACCACGCAACAGAATAATGCAGTAGCCATGTGCCTCTGCGACCTGCTCCTGCAGCTGCTGCAGCAACAGCTGCTGCTGCTTCTCCCCGCTGGTGCTGCCGCTGCTGCTGCTGGGAAGGATTGAAATGCGAGGCCAGTGCATGCAGAAGCAGCAGAAAGAACAAAGAAAAAGAAATGCAGCAAAAGGTGACACCCGCAGCAACAAAGACCCCTCAGCCCACAGCAGCTGTTTCCCAGTGAAGATTGGTGCTGACTGCAGCAGCAGCAGCAGCAGCGGCAGCAGCGGCAGCTGTCTTCTTATCCAGACCTTCCTTGCATGCACACGAGAGACAGAAGACAACACAGCAAAAGCAAACAACTCAGTCTTGACGCACGATATTCACGCTGCAGCAACAGCAGCAGCAGCTGTTGCTGCTGCTGTGGCTATTGTTGCTGCTGCTGCTGTCGTTGCAGCTGCAACTGCTGCAGCTAATGAAGCTACGCAAGTTGCTGCTGCTGCTGCTGCTCAGGTGTACAGGCACCTGGCCTTCTTGTTTGCTGCTGGCCAGGAGATAGGGCTGCGTTGTCTTTGTTTGTCTTCTGCCTCCTTTATGCATGCATGCAATCAGCAAATGCATTGTAAATATAACAGCACCTGTTTAGCTCTCTCTCCTTCCGCATCCCTCTGGTTAATATGTCTCCTTTGATTCAATCTCCTTCTTTACCTGCATTCTCCGTCTTAATATGCATCTTCTTTTACTTCCGCTGCAGCGGCATCTGCCGTGTCCTTTACTTGCTGCTTGCTGCATCGCCTACTTCTTCTGCTGTTCCCCCTTGTGTTGATGGCATCTGTTCTTCTTCCGCAAATCTACGGATAATCTCTGTGATATCCCAGGTATCAACAACAGGAATTTGAAGTAGGTCAGCATCAGAAACAGATCCATCATCGTCAATTCCTTTAAGTATTTCTTCTGCTTGCTTCTCTTCATCATCTTCCTCTACGTAGTCTTCTACTTGAGCTAAACTCTCTTCCGATGTGCCTATTGCTTTTAATGCATCGTCTGTTGCTCCAGCAACTTCCCAGCGTGCTTCAGGTGTAGTGAAGTCTTTCTTAATCTCCGTCCACGCACTTCTTGCTGCTGCTAGTTTGTCTCCATACGTGATGTCTAGGTCTTTCAGTGCTTCTTCTAATCTACGAATTCTTTCTGTATAAAAGGTAATCAATGTATTCTCTCCCAACAAACGTCTCTTCAAAATTATTCTCGTCGTTCCTGTGGGGTCGGTGTCTGTTGCGCTGCTACCATCGTCTTTATCGTGTCTAGGAAGAGACAGCAGACCTCTCCTGGCCCTACTTCTTCTTCTGTTTGCAGTATCTAACCTCTCTCTTGTCGTCTGCAGCAAGCCTTCTATCCTGTCTCGTTCAGCTTTAAGTACTGCTGACGTACTCTTATTGTCCCCAAAGAGACTCCTTATCTCTTGTCCGAACGAGCGCTGTCTTGCTATCTCTGATGCTCTATCCATTAGATTTAATGTCTTTAATCTTTTCTCCTCAAAATCGCGTTGAGAAACCAAAAACTGCCGCACAAGATCAGGGTTTTCTGCCTCGTTGTCTATTCTCTCGTCAAAGTAACGGAATATGCCTAAGGCAGTTCTATGCTCTCCCACGCACCTAGACTCAAGAGTTAAGAATAAATCTTCTCCAGATCTTCTTGCTTCTTCCAGTGCTTTTTCTGCTGCATCTTTGTGTTTTCCCTTCAAGAAATCTATTCTCTTCTCCAGAACATTACGAGTCTTCGGCCCAAGACCGCCACCACTCAGCTGTATAGTCAGCTCGCTTATTTCTTCTTCATACTCACGTCTTTGTTCGCTAACATGTTCTTCTGCTAATTTTCTCTCATACTCTTCTAATTCTTTATGTTGTTCTAGAGCTTCTTGGGCAATAGCCTTGCATGCAAGCTGCTCTTTTACCGTCCCTAGTCTGTCTCCGGTGTCCTTCCTTATGCTTGAAAGAGAAGCATTTTCTTTTTCTCTTGATTCTACAGCTTGCTCTAGAGGGGCTAATGCATCTAAGAATTCTCTTCTCTTTGTCTCAAAGTCTGACTCCACGGACTCCTTCTTTGCCTTTGCATCTTGTATTTCTCTCTTTAACTCGTCGAGCTGGCCCTTACGTTCCTCTAAATCTGCTTTTAGCTCTTCTACTTCTTTTTCTTTCTCAGCCCTTTCATCATTTTTCTGTGATATCTGTGCCCTTAGCTGCCGCACCTGCGCCTCTAACCTAGTCTTTGTTTCTTGTTTTTCTTCATTAGATAAGCCTGCCTTCGCATTCTCTATCTTTTCTTTCTTTAACTCTAGCTTCTTCTTCTTAAGGTCCTCTAACTCTTGCGTAGCTATCTGTATCTCTTCTAAAATGCTTCCCCCTTGAGTACTAAGAGCTTCACCCCACCGTGCTTCCAACAGAGCCATCTCAGCCATTCTCTCTACAACAGCCCTCTTCTTCTCCGCTAATTTCTTCTGTTCTTCAAACGTCTTCGTAAGGATGCCTGAGATATCTTCAGACGCCATATCTGAGAATGCTTTGATTTTTTCTTGCAGCACTCGAGTTTCTTCTTCTAGAGCCTCTGCTTCTTTGTCCATCCTGCGCACTAATTGCAGCAACTCTCCACCGCCTCTACCTTGTGAACTCAGTTGCTCGAATAATTCTGCCTCTGCTTTCTCTGCCTCCAGTGCTGCTGCTTGAACCTCCGCTTGTCTCCTCGAAGCTTCGGCCTTCCTCTCTGCTAATTCTTTTGTAATATCCGTCGATTCTTTTATTTTCTTCTCGTACTCATCCAAAGACTTCTGCAGCTCTTCACGTCTTGCTGCTGCTGCTGCACGTGCTGCAGCAGCTACTTCCTCAGCGTTTAACCAACGGGCAACTCCGAAGACAAACAATAAACCACAAAGAAGAAGAACAGTAGATAAGTGAGAACGCACTTTACTGTTTCCTGCAACCTGTGTTACTCTAGCCATAAACGTCTCTCTTCTAGATCTCCCTGCTGTCTTTGAAGTACCTCCTCTAGAACCCCTTGCAGATAGTATATGCCCTCCCCCTGCTTCTACAGACCCTGTAGGCCCTGCTGCTCCTGCTGCTGATGCTTCTGCTGCACTACCACCAGCAGCAGCAGCGGATTCTTCTACTTGTTCCTGCACAGTCTCTACTTGAACCTGATCGTCACCAAACGCTTCTGCTGCTTCAGCTCCCCAAGCACCAGCAGTAGCAGCATTATCACCACCACTGCATGCAATAAATATAGCAACAGCTGCTGCGCAGAGAAACATAGCGCGAGGCAACCGACGACGCCAGCTACTGCTGCAGCTTATGCTGCTGATGCAGCTACGCCTCCTGCTCCTGCTGCTGCTGCTGCAGCAGCAAACAGAGGGCTTCTCTTTCATCATATAAGATGGAAATAACAAACTGAACGCCGCTGTTGCCGCCCTTCTGCTTCCTCTTGCATGCAACAAAATACCTCGCTAGACGGCAACACTATCGAGAGCCTCTCGGGGATCGATCGATCCCCCGGGGCCTCCGGTGTGGGGCCTTGCGGTGGAAGAAAAAAGAATAAAAAGAGGCGTTAAAAACTGCAATAAGCAACAGCAAAAACAAACATGAACAAAAAAGAAAAACCTTAGGGCTTCTCTCAGCCTAGAACGCAGCAAGGCGCTGGCTGCGGCAGCAAGAAGTCATATAAGACTATGCCGTTGCTGTAGCAGAGCTGCAGCATCAGCAGCACCAACCCCCAACACTTTATTGCTCAGAAAAAGAAACAGAACAGGGAAACAGCAGCAGCAGCAGCAGCATCCACTGCTGCCGCTGCAGCCGCTGCTGCGGTTGCTGCTGCGGTAGCAGCCGCAGCAGCTCCAGCCGCAGCAGCAGCGAGTGAAAGCAGCTGCCCCTCAGAATAATAAATAAACAACAAAAATACCTTCTCTCTCTTCTCCTGCTGCAGCAACAATCAAAATGTATTTAATGATGTTTAAAGAAATTACCTTCACTTTTACTCAAAAGGAATGATGCCCTGCAGCTGCAGCACCGGCAGCAAAAGCAGCAGCAGCAGCAGCTCCCCATGCCGGCGCTGCTGCTCGCTATTGAGGGTGTTTATTCTTGTTGTTTTCAGGATATAAACAATTTAAAGAAACTTTATATCTTTTTAATGCATAATATTAATCATTATTCTTCTTATAACAACAACAAAAGCAGCAATATATTAGAACTCTCTCCTTCTTTCTGAGGACCGCTGCTCGCCTGCTTGCGTTTGAGGTGAGCGTACACCTTAGTTGAGCTCCCCTCCTTTAATGTAAAGGGGTTTTTATGTTTATTTATGAATATTTATTTGTTTCTATTAACATATGCTTGAAATGCATATAAATGCTGCAAAGGCAGCAGGAACGAGCAGATCACCAACGTTTTGCACAGGGAGAGAGGGTGTAGTCTCTGATTATTAAATAAATAAATATAATATTAACAGCAGCTTTAATTCATTAACACTGCTGCTGCTGCTACTGCTGCTTCTGCTGCGCCAGCGCATGCAGCGGGGGCGCATGCATGCTTGCATGCATGCAAACATTTAAGAGATAATACCTAACACCTTCTCGGGTGTAGCAGCAGGATAAAGCCCTATTAGAAAGAATTGCTGCGTGCAGCAGCAGACAGTATGCGACTTTGCATGCATGGGGCTGAGTCTGCTGCTGCACAGAGGAAACAGCAGCTACAGCTGCATGCGCGATTGTTGCTGTATTCAAGACAGCAACAACAATTGCATGCAAAAAGAAAGAAATATACAAACAAATGCCTCTCTTTGCTGCCCTCAGTATAACCCAAGTAATTCCAAACAGAAATAACAGGGAAAATGTCTCGTTGTCTGGGGAAACAATTAATAGGCAGACAGCAAGTAGTAAAAAACAAGGGAAACGATAAATAATAAATAAGAACTAGTAAATAATAAATAATAAGTAGGAAATAAAAACCTAATTTGTTATGAATACTTACAAAAGAATAAGAAAGGCCTTCATTTACTTTCCTTTCTTTCTTTGTTCTCTAACGAAACAACGGGTAAGAGACGGAGACCACAAAACAGAAAAAAGATATTTCTTCTAATGGTGCAGGAGCCTTATTTCTGCTGCTGTTGCTGCTGCTGCTGTGGGCTACGAGGGGAAAGTAGCAAGGGAAAACAGCAATAAGCAGAAGAAGAAAAAATAAAAAACAAATAATAAAAGAGATGAAAACAACAAATAACAAACAGTAGAAACGCCAAGTATATAAGAACAATAAAAAGCAGAAAATAATAATTATTAATCATACAAATAAACAATATAATAATAAATGATATACGAATTATAGCAGACAACAACTAAGAGCGGCAGCAGCACCAACAACAGCAGCAACAACAACAATGATAACGATAGTAATAGTTATAGATACTAAGTAAGAATAAAGAAACGTAGTAAATAACAATAATAAATAGAAGTAATAGGTAATAAATGAAAATAAATAGAAGTAACAAATAATATATAATAATCAATAAGAGTAATAAATAATAATAAATAAGTAATAAAAGTAATACATAATAAATAAGAAATAAAAGAAATAAACAATAAATAACAGTAAAGAATTACGAATAAAAGGAATTAGCGGTGGATAATAAATAATAGTAATGAGTTTTTTAATACTAAAAACCTTTAATATTATTTATTATGTAAGTAACACATAATAAATAATACGCGATAAATAAATAATAAACAATAATTAAAAAAGTAATAAAAGTTTTGTAAAAGTGAATAATAAAGAATAATAAATAAAAGTAATAAAATTTTTCAATAAGGAGATCTCCTTAAAGCGCTGATATTTAATTTAGGTGGGGCCATCGCCCAGCTTTCTGCTGCGCCTTCTCCAGCAGACAGCCGCTTCCGCTGAGGAGCTGCTGCTGCTGCTGCTGCTGGTGCTGCTGCTGAGCCCTCCTTTAAGCTCTCTGCTTTTTCAAGCTTCTCAGCAGCACCAGCAGCAGCATCAGCAGCACCAGCATCAGCAGCAGCAAGTGAGCTTGGGATAGCTGCTGCCTCTCTCTCAGCTCGAGGCGCCGCTTCCTTGGGTCTGTTGCTGCTGCTGCTGCTGCTGCTGCTGTTGCTGCTGCTGCTGCTGCTTTGAGATTCAGCTGTGTCTCTTTTCGGTGAGGCCTGAGCCTCATGCAAACTCCTACCACCGCTCGTTGCAGCAGCACCAGCAGCAGCAGGGTCAGCAGCAGCAGAATCCGCAGCAGCAGCAGCAGCTGGATGTTCTGTAGGAGACGCAGACTGAGGCTGCAGCAGCAGATGATGTGGAGAGACACCTGGAGAGTGTTTAGGGGGGGCCTTCAATACCCCAGTGATAATCTGAGAAGGCCTTCCTGCCCTTGTTCCTAAGCGAACCATCGGCTGCTGCTGCTGCTGCTGCAGTTGTTGTTGGGCTGCTTCTCTGGATGTGTTTATCGGAAGCCTTGTTGTCTCTTCGCTTGCTGCTGCTGCTGGTGCTGGTGCTGCTGCTACTGCTGCTGCTGGCCCGCCTTGCTGCGCTGCCGTGGCGCCGGAGGGAGCTGCCTCCGCGTCTCTTCTTTGCTGCATTATGTTTGCGGTGTCTCCTGAGGTGTCTCCTTCTTGCTTATTGCTGTTCTGCGCCCTGTCTCCTTGCAGCAGCGCCGCGCTCCTCTGCCCCGCTGCTGCTGCTGCTGCTGCTGCTTTTGAGGCTACTGCTGCTGTTTCAGCTGTTCTCAGTCGCGCGGAGGGCGGGGGCCCTGGTTGTTTGTTTGCTGCCTTGTGCGTTGCTGCTGCTGGTTGTGCTGGTGCTGCTTCTGCTGATGCTGCTGATGCTACTGCTGCTGTCTCCTTGCTGTCTCCTGGCTGCTGCGTCGGTGTCCCCAGGTATTTTTGCAGTAAGGCCTCCATGTCGCTGCTGAGTGGTGCTCCTGCTACTGGAGGTGCTGCAGCAGCTGCTGGAGGTGCTGCTGCAGCTGCATCTGTCTCCTTCTCTGCTGGTTTCATTATGCGTCTCGCCGTTGGGGTGTCTTCTTTCTTAGCCCAGGCGTCTGCACCATGCAAGGCAGAGGAGACACTACGCGGGGATAGAGGAAGAGTTGCTGCAGCAGGTTCTCTTTTCGATGCTTGCTGCTGCTGCTGCTGCTGCTGTCCTGGCACTCGAGAGCCCAGCACGTCGAGATGGCGCCGCTCAACTCGTCGAGACGTTTGCTGCTGCTGCTGCAGCGAAGGGGCCTCTGTCTCTGTTACAGCAGCTGCTGGTGCTGCTGCTGCTGCAGGGCCTGCTGCTGCTGTTGCTGCTGCTGGAGCTACCAGCGCTGCAGGGGGTGGGGGGGCCTTTTGTTTGCTTCCGTGTGCAGCAGCGGAGTCTTCAGCGGCTTTTGCTGCTGCTGCTGCAGCATCAACAGCATGTGCAGCAGTAGAAGCAGCAGCATCAGCAGCAGCAGCAGCATCAGCAGCAATAGGCCTTGGAGATCGCAGGGTTCTGACGGAAGCCACAGAGGCAGAAGAATTAACTCTTGAGATTCCTCTGGCTGCATCTGCTGCTGCAGCATCTCTTCGAGCGTCTCCTGTAGGTCTTTTGCTGCTGCTGCGGGCTCTGCTGCTGCTACCCTCCATAAAGGCAATTGCCTGCGCTCTCCCAATGCGGCTCTTGGGGCTCAGCGGCTCGCCGTCATCGCTTCCGTCCTCTGCTGCAGCAGCAGCAGCTGCTGCTGCAGCAGCTTCATTCTTGTCTTGCAACTCCACATGAATCCTGCGGAATCCGTGAGCAGCAGATTGAATTGATGCAGCAGACGTCTCTCGTTTAATAGGGTCTCCTTTCTCCTCTCGCCTTGCCGTTCTTCGCTGGGAGGAGGCAACAGACTGTACCCTAGGGCTGCGCCCCGGTATCAGCAGCCGCTGCTGCTGCTGCTGCTGCTGTTGCAAGTTCGTCAGCTCTTTTTCTTTTTCTGCTGCTTTGGTGAATGCGCTGCTGAAGAAAGAAGTAAGACGCTCCACACCCTCTCTGCTCTTTTCTGCTTCTCCTCCTATCCCACTTGCTGCTGCTGCTGCTGCTTGTGCTGCTTCGCGGCTATCTCTTGCATCCTCTGCTGCTGCTGCTCCTGCTGCAGGGGCAGCAGCAAACGCTGGTGTCACTACAGAGCGAGGGCTTCGCGGTAGGGTCAGTGTTAATTGCTGAGTGAAGCTGCTGCTTTTATTTAGCTGTCTCCTGTCTCCTTTTTCTTCTCCTTGTCTAGAGCCTGTCCTTCCTCTTGCGGCGCCTGGAGCAGCAGCAGCAGCATCAGAAGCAGCAGCAGCGGACTTGCTGCCGCTGCTGCTGCGCCTCAGCAGCTTCATTCCTTCAGCTTCAAGGAAGTGCCTAGAGGCCTCGCGGCTGAGAGGTGTGGTAGGGCTGCTGAGTGCTGCTGCAGGAAGCGCTGGAGAGCTTAGCGACTTCACAGTTGGTGCTGCTGCTGCTGCTTGATCTGCTGCTGATGCACCCGCTGCAGACTGCCGCTGCAGCTCGGGAGCGCTGGGACTATGCACCTTCATAAGCCTCAAAGCAGCAGAAGCACCAGGAGCAGGAGCAGCAACAGCAGGAGAAGACAATCTCGCTGAGGCTACAGACGGGACTCTTCTGCTGCTGGCTATGGAGACACCTGAAGCAGATCGAGATAAGAAACCCTCCCCAGGAGACGGTTTCCTTGTTGTGTGCAGCTTAAGCATGCCTGCAGCATCTCTTGCTGCTGCTGCTGCTGCTGCTGCGTCTCTTCTTGCTGCTGATGCAGGGCTTCTTGCTGCTGCTGCTGTTGCTGCGGCACCGTCATGTTCTGCTGCTGCTCTGCTGGTTCTCGAAGCAAGAGAGACAACAGAAGCAACCCTATGCAGTGAATGAGTACGGGGCTGCGAGGAGGGCTCTCTAGGAGCAGCAGACGGCACTCTGTATCCTTTGTATATGGGGTGAGAGCTCTTCCAAGCAGCTAAGGCATCTCTGCAGCAAACAAACAACAGCAGCAGCAGCAACAGCAGCAGCAGCAGCAGCAGCAAAAATGAGTAGCAGAAGGACAGGTGCTGGGGTGCAGGTGAGGCTGTCGTCTGCTTGTATAATACGAATGGAGAGAGAAGGGAGAAGAATAGATATTCATTTAAAGAGACAATAAACCCCAAAAGATATTGATTTGAAGAGGCAATATACCTCACCTCTCCTTGCGCAGACCTTCCACTTGAGACTGCAACTCCTGCGTCTTCTTCTTCGCTGCAGCAAATTCGGCATCTTGCTGTCTGCATAGACAGCAGCAGCAGCAGCAGCAACAGAGAGCAGCGCTTCGCTAACAACGCTCCACAACCGACCACAACCCTCGCGCAGCGGCGGTAAAACCATCGACAAAGGATATGAGGTGTAAGTACACCCCAACAGGCAGTGCAGCAGCAGCACCAGCCTGTCTGTACATCTCAGCGTGAATTTCTCAGCTTGGCTGCAGCAGTTGCTGCTCCAGCAGCAACGCCATCCCTTTGTGCATGCACACTGCAGCAGCAAATGCATGCAGTTTTATTTAAATAAATTAGAGGGAAAAAATAGTTTGATTTACTTGAGGCGGTGATCTCTCAGTCGCAATTTCAGCAAGACATCAGCTTTTCTTGAATTCTCCCTCTTTACCTCTTCGAGGTCCTTCTGCACCGCTCGCAGCTCCTTTTCTACTCGCTGCAGCAGCAGCAACAACAGCAGCAGCAGAAGCAGAAACAGTGGCAAGAGCAGAAGCAACAACAGAGGCAGCAGAAGAAGATCCAGCAGTAGTAGCAGCAGCACCAGAAGCAGCAGAAGCAGCAGCACCACAAGCAGCAGCAGGATGCAGCGAGAGCGAGAGGAAGCGTATCAAAGACATGTGTGCAAATTGAGGTGTGCATACACCTGAGGACTCACCACGTATTTATTTTCCCACATTTTTCGCTCTCTTTGGAGGCGAGTTGCCTCCGCTGCCGGCACCATTGAAGAGGGTTTATCTTCATTAATAGAAAGACTCTATAAGGAAGGAAAAATAGAAGAGTATTTTAAACAGAGTTTAAAGATAAAAAGCAGAACAGAATTCTTTTTAATGCCTTTTGTCTTTTTATTTAATATTATTTTACTTTGTAGCGCAGCCTTGGTCATACTGTTGTTAATATTTTAGTCCTACGCTCGACTTATTTTATTCATTCCTTTATTCGCTATGTTCAATACTATTTTACTAATTACCTTGTTTTGTTCCTACTTAATATGAATACTCCTATACTTTATATCTCATTCTATCATAAAAATTAGTACCACTCGATTCTATATTTAATAGTATTATACATTATTTTTGTATTTAATACTATTATACTTTGTATTTAATACTATTATACTTTATACTTGGCAGTATTATACTGTATATATTTAATATTACTGCAGAACAAATACCTGCAAAATGCCCTTTGCGCTGACTTCTTTTACAAATCCTTTCGCCAGCAACGCCGCCTCAATTTCATTTAACTCCAACTGCATTTTAATGCATGCATGCAAACAAAGAATAAACAAAAGGTAGACAAAATGCAGCATCTTCTCTCCCCTATACTCAGTTGTGCTGAAGCAGCTTCCGCCGCCGCTATACATTATTCATTCCCAGCAGCAGCAACAGCAACAACAACTGCACAACCAACTGCAGCAGAAGCAACAACTGCACCACCAACTGTAGCAAAAGCAACAACAACAGCAGCACCAACAGCAGCAGTAGCTGCTGCAGCTCCAACAGCAGCTGCAGCAGCAGCAGCAGGCATGTTGTTGCTTGCCTGCATGCGATTAACCCCCAACGACACCATCTCTGGAAGCTGCTGCATTGTTGCTTTCTCATCTTCTGAAAACTGCAGCAACAGCAACAAGAGAGGAATGTTTGGGGGTGTATGCACAGGTAATAGAAGTGAGCCTTTTATTATATCCCCTCAATGTGCACCTTCTAATATTCAATTATGTTTATTCCTTTTCTTATTTTTAGGTTATTTTAGTTTATTTTAGCTCAACACGCACATTGCATGCAGCGAGACCCGCAGCAAACCGGCCTAGAGACCCCTTTAAGGAGCGGAATGCAGCAGCAAAGGCATTTGCTTCTTCTTCTAATTGTTTTTGTTTCTCTTGTAGCCCTGAAACAAACCTAAAATAGAACACAAACATGCAACAAATGCCAATTGAAGCAGTTACTTATTTGAATGAAGACGGCAAGGCCAATATACATACAAATATATATTTATATATAATCACATATTTCTATATAATCTTTTATATATTACAGGTACAGTGCAGCAAAAAACAGCGGCACTCGCGCAGGCAGCAGCAGCAGGCACAACAGCAGCACAGGGCGGCTGTAGCTGCTATTGCTGCAACTGCTGCTGCTGTCGCTGCTACAAATGCTACTGCTGCTGCTGCTGCTGCTGCATCTTGCTGCTGCTTCTTCTGCTGCTGCTGACCTCTTCAAGACGAGCAACTTATCCTCAGCCTCTTGGCTACGTCTCTCTGCCTGGCGAGCGCGCAATGCATCATTTGCTGATTGTCTCTCCTGTAGCTGCAGCTTCCTTAGTAGGTTGTCGTTGCTGTCTCTGTACACAGCGGTGTCTACTAGCAGCTGCTGCACCACCGCTGAAGCCTCGCTGCAGAAGCACAGCAGCAGCAGAATATATGTAGTTATAGATACATTTGTTTATATGCATTTCATAAAGTATATATGTCATTTTTACAGATATTGCATGGATAACTTATAGTAGTGCTGCTGCTGTAGCAATACAAGAATGCTTTACAGAGCGCAGCAAGACAAACAGATAGGAGGTGGTATATCAACAATTGAGGTTTAGTGCAGCCGACTGCAACTGAAAACCCAAATTCCAATTAACTGCTGCTGCTGCTGCTGCTGCTGTTCATTAGAGGTATAAGAATGTCCTTTCATAAACCTATAACGCACTAACTCCCTAAACACTGTAGGAATGAGACAGTAGTACCATGCGGGTCAACAGAAGTAGCATACCTACCAATCAATCAATCAATCAATCTATCTATCTATCTATCTATCTATCTGTCTATCTGTCTATCTATATCTATCTATCTATCGATTATGTATAATTGTTGCTGTATAGACACCTCACGCCTTCAGCCTCTCAACCGTTTGCCTGTGTTGCGCCTTTATCTCCTCCAGCTGTCGAATAAGTGTTTGATTTTCACCAATGACCTGAGAGCAAAGTTGTTCTTTTGCAGCGACTTTAGCTCGTAAGAAGCCCTGGGACTCCGCAACAGCCACGCGGTGGTGTACAGACATCTTGGCGTCTATACGGCCTCTTTCGTTTCGTTCAGCTGAGGGTATTTCCCTTGAAATAAGGGCTTGAGACGCGCTGCTGCTGCTGCTGTTGCTACTGGTGTCCCGGCCTCCCCCTTCATTGAATGACTTTCTCTGCGGCGTTGCGGCCGACCCCCTGCCTACTGCACAAGCCTGCAAAGATGCAGATACACCCCGCCGGACTCTCTGCGGTGGAGCAGGAGCTGCAAGAGGAGTAGGAGGCTGTCTCTGAAACGGGCTGTATGCCTGTACAGGAAAGCTGAATGAAGACTGCTGAACCCGCGTCTCACAAACAGGAGAGGTGGTGCGCTGTGTCTGCTTCTTCATAGCGCGCATACACCCCAAGTATGGGGAAATAGAACACTCCTGCACCCGAACAAACTGTCCATTGCTGCCGCTGCTTCAAGTCGATTGGCTGTTCGTACACTCCGCTCCAGCGAAGGAGCTTGGAGCCCCCGAACAGGAGAGGTAAGATGTTGGAAAGAGCACAAAATAAGATGCGACTGAAAAAAGCGAGAAATTCAACTCGATATCATCGAACAAATGGCCAGACAATACGCAACCGGGGCCCCCGACGAGGCGACCGTCCCAGCGCGCCGGACCTGTGCAGAACCTCCTCTATAGGGGAAAGTAAGCGCTTTTATGCAAAAGAGATGAAGGGAAAATGTACAAAATGTAATTTAAAGCTATATTTCGACGTTTTTCCTGAACTTCAGCAGCAGGATCAGGGTGTGAAGGGGTCGCGAGAGGCTATCGACGGAGTGATGAGCAGACCAGTCCAGAGTGGTTTGACCGCCTCAAAACTTTGCTTGCTGTTCCTTCATTTCGCACGAAAAGGAAGTTTTAATATAATGCAAGATATTTCCTCAACAGTTTCCTTGCTGCATCCATTCAATGCAACTCCAACAGATTGGCTTCTTCACACTCGCCGTCGTTGCCGCCTCTACTGTGCTTACACCCCAGAACTTTGCCGCTTGAACTGCAATCACCATTTTTGCAAAAAGCTCAACAACTTTCGTTTAAAGAATAATTTCTTTTTGTTTTTCGCAAAGTACTAAAGTTTGTCTGATTTTGGTGCTGCACTGCAGCCACCTTCCCCAGCAAACGTCCATCATACTACCTTCCCGCGTCGGGGCCCTGCGCTCTTTGCCTTCTTCTCACTGAGATAAACGCTTCCGCTAGTATATCCATAGACTAATTTGTATCACTTCTTCCTCACTATAGATCCAGAAAGCTACTGCTACTGAAAAGGCGTTGCTTTCGCACGTCCAAGTTCTGAACTTGCCCGCTCTGGTTAGCTGCCACAGCTGAAGTCTGCTCCAAAATAAACTGAATACACAGCAGGAAAAAGAAAGCTCCTTCCCTAACCTTTCGGAATAGTCCACCTTCAGCTCTTTCCTGTTAAGTAGTGGCCTCCGTATCGCCGACACGGGGCGAAGGAGCAGCCAGCTTACGCATGCACGGAGTATCATTATATATTGTTTTACTCCATACATGTATTAACCACAATACTAGGGAATAACATACAATAAGCACCCATTTTCAGAATAGTTTAAGGAGGCTGATGCTTTTTGGAAGACTGAAGGAACACCGCCCAGAAGCATCGCTAGAGCTTCTGTGCTGTGTCGCGTTCTGGTGTATCTACAGCGTACAACTGGTTTGTTTTCTCGTTACAATCTGTCCTTTCTGTTATAAGAAAGACACCCGATAGCCAACATGCGCAGACAGCCATTAAAAAAGCTGTCTATTTTCTTTGTCTCACGCCGCGAGCCCATTCCTGAAATGCTATCATCAGTTTCAACAATCAAAGTAGGGAAACCTTCACTTGGAGACGGTGAAGAAGCCACCCCAACAATGCGTGTGCAGCAGCAGCCAAGGCTGCTGTTGTTGCATGCATGCAATGCATGCAGCGCATGCAGTGCATGCAGATGGAAGCGAGGATGGAGAGAAAGCAACAGAGGAACACAAGACCACACCGCATGCAAGCAGCCAAGCAAAACAGCCAGCCGCTGCAATAACAACAAGAACTTGAACTCCCCCTGGGCTTGCTGCTGCTCTGAGGAGACCCCCCAAATCAGCGGCATAACAGCAGCAGAACAGCAGCAGATCAGCAGCAGCCGCCGCTGCTTTGAACGTGCTGAGGGCGTATTTCCTGGTTTGTAAGTGTTAATGTTTCAGGCAGGTAGCTGCAGCACAAACACAAACAGCACAAGCTTGCATTTGCTTTACAACACTTTGTTCATAGGAACAACGCCCTAAACGCAACGAAACAACAGTAAGAGGTATCTGTCTATACACCGCAGCAGAGGGCCCCTATCGGCAGCTGAAGCTGCTGAATAAAATGAGGAGGAGCACTTCTAGATCTGCTACTGTTCCAGGGAGAACTTGGAAATGATATTCAAGATATAACAGCCTAGCAGCTGCTTCATGCACGGAGCGCATGGAAGGGTTGCTGTTGTACATTTGTTCTTGTTTTGTCTCGTGCTGCATCGCCTTTCGCGCTATTTCCTCAAATGCAGCGCTGACGTTTGTTGCTTGTTTTGCACTTGTTTCAAAATAACTGATTTTAGAGCCGCAGAAGGCTTCCGCCTTCGCTGTAGAGACGCGGCGCTTCTCCTCTGAATAACGACAACAAACAAAACACAAGAAAATGCAAAGGAATGAATAACCCTCAATTCAATGCATGCATCAGCAACTATGCATGCATGCTGCTCTTGCTGCTATAAAGGAAGAAGGGAAAGAAACAGGCAGAGGATGCTTCATTCTTCCTCTCCTTGCTGCAAACCTCAAAAAAGAAATAACCGCCAAGTTACATATTAGAGTATTATACTACAATGATAATTAAATATAAAGATATACGAATATATTGTTGCAGCATAATACTCTAATATATAGTATTATACTACAATAATAAAATAAAAAGATACAAAAATATATTATTGTAGTACGATACTCAAATATAGAGCATTACTACTATACTATACTACACTAATGCATTGTTATAGCTTTATCTCTTCATTTCTTCATTACGCTATTATCCAATCATTTTTTATATATTTGTACGATGGAGGGCTCCGCTCACTTTCATCGACTTTGTTGCCAAGGACAACGAAAGGAAACGCGTCGGGGTCTGACGGAGAGGACTGCAGCAAACCAGCCGCAGCAAAACAGCAGCAGCAGCAGCAGACCAGCAGAAGAGTAGAACTGAAGAGGTTCTGCAGCATGCAGATGCTGCGCTGCATCAGCTTGCTAGTATTGTTAAGCAGCAAAGAAGGCGACATATTGCTGCTCAGTGTGTCGTTGGGTGATGCAAAAGCAAACAAATGCAGGGATAAACACCACGTTTCATCTTCAGGTATACGTTGCTGAGCATTCTTTCTGTTTCTAAATCTGTTTTCTCTAAAGTATTAATACCTGAATGAGAAATTCTTCTTTCCACGACTCCAGGCTGTCAAAAGACTTAGGATTTGTTACATCAAACACCAACACGCAACAGTCAGCTCCGCGATAGAAGGCGACGCCTAAACTCTGAAAACGCTCCTGGCCTAGAAAGCAGCAGCAGCAACAACAGCAACAAACAAAAAATGTTTTTCCAGAGTAGAAACAGCAGGGAAAAAAACCTAAAAGTGAAGGTAGGAAACGATCTGCATCACTTGAATAGAAGAGCAACAATGTGCATGCTACACAGCCAAATGCTGCTTCTGCACTGATGTTTTGTGTGGTTAGGGCATATGCTTTAGGGTTTTATGCTGCGCAAGCATCATATAAGCATATCCGGTTCAAGCTGAACATCATTTCAGGAAAGTGGTGTTGTGTTGTAATACTTTCGCTGTTTTTTGCGAACATGTTTTGTCGTGCTGCTGCATCTTACCTGCCGTATCCCAAATCTGAATAGTGACTTCCTTATCGTCAATCACAACATCTTTTGTGAGGAAATCCGCTCCAACTGCGCACAACATGACTGGAGTTTTTCAGATGTACGTACACCGCGTGCAAGGGAAACAGCAAGCAAGATCAGCACAGAATGAAATGTTCCTTTCAGAAACATTTTATTTCGCTGATGCTGTGATGTACTTGAAAAACAAGGAATGGTATATATACGTATGTGTAATAATTGCATATATATATATATATATATATATATATATGTTGAATATCATTTTAATTCCATCTATTGAATAAAAATGATATTCAATTCAACACGGAAACAGCATTCTTCAGTCAACATGTTGAATAAAAATGATGTGTAATTCCAATTTAAAAGTGCGAATGGCAGTGTCAGGGAAACTGCGGTGTACAGACGGCTCACTGGTGGCTTTGTATTGATTCGAGAATTTCTTGTTTACATATTGATTCATCAGAGATGTTTTCCCGACGCTGCAACATCAAAACAAACTCCAGAACTCTCTTTACTCGCGAATACACGAAAGAAATGCATATTTTAATAGAATAAATAAGTAATTATGCTGCATATGAAGAAAGAAATACTATTATACACAAATATACATCTCGCATAATACAACCTTGACAACATATGGAGCACTTTATCCAGCTATTTAGGGTTTAGGCTCTGGAAAGAAAACGAGAAAAGAGCCCCTCTATCCCGAAACCCTACACCCTAGCGCCCAAACCTTAAACCCTAAAGCATAAGCCCTAATCCCTTAATCCACCCACCTGCTGTCACCGAGTATAATAACTTTGAGGAGAGATTTCTTCTTAGGCGGCATTTTCGTAAGCAGTGGTTTGCTTCAGCGCTGTCTGCTTTTGTTCTGAATATGCAATTGACGTGTTTAAAAAGAAGAAACTGCAGCAATCTCCTGCACGAGAAAAAAGACAGGCCCCCCCCACTCTGTGCGCCGCCAGTGGTCTTCCAATCCTCGCGAGAGTTTATACAAAAGGGATTCCTCTTTTGCATGCAATCACCTGAAGCGCATGCATGCATGCACGCATGCATATATGCACGACACCATCCCATTTTGCATTTTTTCCATGTACAACCGACGGCCTACTGATGAACAAAGATGCAATACACCTCAGCGAGGAAATAAACACAGAGCGCATGCAGCATCAGCAGCAGCTGCTGCTGCTGCTTCTGCCAGCGGAGAGAAGAGTAAAAACACCCTCAGACAAGCGCAAGCGGAAAGAAGACAGCAACAACTGAATGGTGGTTGCCGAGCAGCAGCAGCAGCAGCAGCAGCAGCAGCAGCTAATTCCCTCCTTGCTGACTCAGAGAGAGGAGTGCAAACGCAAAGCGAAGAGAAAAAAAGGCCCCACGATATAAGCAAAAGAGGCATAAAGAGCACAAGCCCTCGTTTGCTGCTCCTGCAGCAGATGCTGATCTCACTGTTTAAGAAGAAGTGCGTGTCTTCCTCCCTGCTCAGTCAGGTGTAGCCGTAAATCCCCAAAGAAATAAATATATTGCTTAAAGGAAATATACAAAGCAGACGAAATACTGCAAAGAGGTGTAGTGACACTGCAGCTGCTGCTGCCGCCCGCGTGTCTGCCTGCTGGGGCCCCTGCTGCAGCAGTGCCTACAGCAGCAGCAGCAGCAGCAAAACACAGTACTTTCTTTTATTCGCTGCAGCTCTGAAAACGCAGAAATACTGCAATAATTACCATTAAAATGCATGCATGCATTCAATTAAAAAGTTAAGAATAACTGAATATTGACGGGGAAACAAGGGCCCGACAGGCCCCAGAGACAGCCACCGGTGCCTTCTTCGTTTTTGCACAGAGCAACTGGTGTTTGCAGCTCTAATGGAGTTGGTTTGTAGATAAACATTTTCCCTCTTTTGCTGATTCTATGCTTAGTGGAGGCTCTGAACTTTTGCAGAGGCCCTCCTAACGACGCTCTGTCTCTGTCCTTATACAACTCTCTGTGATATATATATATATATATTTGTACTTCTGCACAACGTGGATAATGAGGTTTAGAGAAATGCTTATCAGTTGTCTACAGAGTTCTCCTATGCAGCAAAAGGGAAATCGGGTTTTTGCGTTCGTTGGGCTGTCTTGCAGCAACAGTTGCAGCAAGGTGTGCTCTATCAAGGGGTCTTCATCTTAGCTGGGGGCTGCCGCAAGCTCTAGAAAAAAAATTAAAATAAGAGTTCCAGAAAATAAGCTTTATTCTTTCCTCCAGTCTCCAGGTTTCCTGGGCTTGGGTGCTAGGGAAGAGAGGAGTTGTGGTGAGTTGCAACCACCTCCTCCGAGTGCTGCACTACAGCCCCTAATGCAAACACAGTAAAGACAGCAATGTTACATGCACCAGCATTGCAGGCATTTGATAACAACATTCTTGGTCTTCAACAGCCACCCTGCGCTCACTCGAAATGCACGTGCAGGCTAGACAGGCAAGCAATTCTCCATCTTCCTTCCTCCACCCATCTGAATCAGGCATTACAGGCCCTCGTGTGCTTGGTCACCCCGAGCACAGAAACAAAAGGAAAAACGACATGCAAAACGGCGGCGAGCAGCACCTCGAGATGCTGCTTCGATTTGCTTCTGCAGCTGCCGCCTCCACCTTGCTGCAGCCGGCTCCCCGCCCACTAGCATGACCACTGCTCGTTTACTCCGCCCTGGGCCGCTCAGTTGGGTTGGGTGTCGATATGCAGTGCAGGCATCCTAACATAGTTAGAAAATATGCGGTGAACCGCTGCCAGCTCGCAAGTGCCAGCATCACAACGGGATGCCTTCCGGTATAAACCGGAAGGCATTGTAGGCGCATCCCTGACAGCTATAAGTATAGGCACAGAGGGAGGAGATAATAACACCGGCAGAAGAAGTGGTAAATGGATATTTGTTCTTCATTAGCCGTGACAGAGCAAGTGGAAGTGAATGCATGAACGTCTCCCAGACTGAAGATGGCGCTGCTCTGGCCTACGCTAGTAGTAGCTGCCGCTATACCGAGAAGGGCGCGTAGATGCTCTGGTGCTTACAAGCAAGCGGCCTTCAACCACCCACTCTGGGTGTCGGCGTCTTGGGCACTCAACATAATAGTTGCGTTTGCGTGGACTCTGTGCGTCATCGCCGTTGCTTCCACGATCTCATTCTCCTCCATTTGCTCGTCCTCGCTGCAACGTTGCTGCCTTCTAATTTGGAGAGCTCCGGGGAATTTCGGTGATTCCGTGAAATCATTTACCTCCGTGTTAATAAGAAACCGACGTTAACAGGATGGCGGCATATCCATGTTGAGGGCAAGCCGACAATATAAGCCAACGAATTAGCCCGACAATGAACAGCAAAGGGCGTCACACCGCAAATGCTTTGGCTATTATCGCTCTCCTTTGGGCTTCGGAGAGCAAGTGAACCCACTATAACCAAGCTGTCTTTATTGGAGGTGACTTCTGAACGTGGTTTGTCGCTGTTTCTCGACTGGCATTATTGTGCTAACTGCATGCATTCCCGAGCAGCAAGAGCTGCAGCAAGGGATGCAGCTCCTCATAAGATAACACCTTCTCTACAGATGCCCCAGGCACTTGTACTGCTGTGCTCAGGAGACTTGGAAACTGGAGAGGAGGTTAAACTTGCTCTTTAGAGATTTTCTTATATTTAGAATCTTGACTACTCAGTTGCACGTCACGGCCTCTATGCTACCTGTAGCGACGTTAAGCGCTTGTGCGCGGCTACTGTCGTGACCTGAGATGAAGCCAAAAGACTTGAGGCGACAAGAGTCCTCATAATGCACCTGAACTCTCCTACAGTCCCCAGATATTCTGGGTATATCAACTCAACAGCCCAGTGATGGGGGAGACTAGAGACCTGAGATGCCTTGCAACGCGCCTAAAAAGCAACAGATACTTCACCTCACCTTCACATACAAGCACAGTCAAGCCCCTTCTACTGTGTTCACAAACCCTGAAAATATTTGGTGTATTTTTGCTTGCTTGCTGGTTACCTAATGAGGTTAAGGCAGTGCATGATCGTTTATCATGCTGTACAACCCCACAGGCGAGCTTCCCCAAGAACCTCTCTCATGTCCTCCTACCCGGCTGACACAATACAACAAATTGGCTCCCAGTAGCCAGTAGACAGCCAAATATGCAGATGCATGCACCTTCTTCCGCTGGCGAAGCTCCATGCAGCGCAGTACTCTAAGCAACCAGGCGCCTTCTGGCTGTGCCGTAGCTCTAAAGCCAAATGCCTCTCCCCAGAAATTTCTCTGGAAGTTTCTTTTTAAAACAAATTCAATTTCTTTAGCAGTTATGCAATGAACCTGCTGAACCCCCACTATCTCTTGCGAGCGGCCGCAGCACACAGGCGCACGCCCGTTGCTTCGCCTCCTTGCGTCTTATAACTTGTTCTCTCTCCAAAATGGTGCTTAATTTGGCTTACAGATATCAAAGAAATTATAGGAAATATGTCTTTACGTTCAATTATTCGAAAACTGAAGATAAATACCCCTGTTCATCTCAGCATCGTCCTGGGCTTCCACTGTGTCTGATTAGCAGCCAATGGTCGTCTGCCCGCAGCTGCAAGCGGTGCAGGTTAATTGAAGTTTCAGAGAGTGATAGTATTTACCTTTGAAACATTTTAATCTAACGGAGTTAAAAGGCAGACCTGTTTCTTCATTTTACCTTGATTGGTGCAGCTTGCAAGTGCTCCGATTGCCTTCATCTCTCGCTGCTGCTACGGCTGCTGCGGCTGCTGCTGCTGCTGCTGGTGGTGGTTTGTCTTGCGATGGGCGGGGAGGGCGCCGAAGGCAGCGCTGCATCTGCAGAGAGCAGCAGCTCTTTCCCGTTCTTCTTGCAGCTTCTGTTGTTAGTTGTGTTGTCACTGCATGCGGTTGCTGTGGGCGTATGGGGTGTAGCGTTCATGAAAGACATAGCTAGAAACAGCAACAACACAGGACCGCTGACGTCTGCTGAACTCAACAGGAGAGAAAGAGATCGCAGACGAGCCGAAAGGGAACGCGCAGGCCTTGCAGCATCAAAGATGGAGTGAAGAGGATAATACTATCAGAATCTGCTGCATCAAGCAAAGCGAACAAATGCACAAAAAAACGAATAAACAAACAAACCAGCAGGCATGTGAGCTGTTGCTAGCAACAAGGAAACACCAACAATTCAATCATGAGGAGCGCGGAGGGTGTTGTGTGAAGGCTGCATCTGTATATCCTGTGTGTATTCTACTGACTCTTGCTGAGATCTGCTTCGTTTGCTTCGTTCTTTTAAAGAGAAGAAGCTGAACAAGGAAAGAGAAGAAGAAGGAAACCATGGGGCAGTGGGCTACTTACTTGCGCCGAAGGCGCACGGAACGCATCTCAATTGAAAGACTCGGAGATGAACTCCGCAGGGCAAGGTGTGCTTGAGTGCATTTGTTTGTATTTGTGTGTGTGTGTGTGTGTGTGTGTGTGTGTGTGTGTGTGTGTGTGTGTGAGTGTGTGTGTGTG